GCATTTTATCAAACAGAAGACTAGCCATTTCCAACTTCCCATTCTTTACAAAAAATCAATCATCAAATTCCAAGAAATCAAGTCCCTCTCTGGCATTTTCTCAAACAAATCAGAAGCAATGTCGAAAACCATACTCCAACTACTCATAGCCATTGATCAGAGTATTCCAAGTGATTAAAATTTTCATCTCTAGCAGGGAGGAAAATCAGTAATTACCCAGCAGCAGTTACTAAAGTCACTTCTGACGTACCATGATCAATTGTCGGGAAAACACCTTTCCAAAATCCCCAGACTCCAGCTTCTCCATAAATTTCATGAATCTGCATAGCAAAATATTCTAGTTATAAAAATGGCGCAAAATTCTTAGTCATTTATCTATATTTCTGTTAGTGGAGAAGTGGAACAGTTTGTGCATAAAACCTCAGAAAAATTAGCAATTCATTCACAAATACTGGTGACTTTTCATGATCTCTTACGGCATTCAGCACATTCAAGATACTCTACAATTACAGGAAGAAAACCTGATAAAGAACTGGTATTGAACGCAATAACCAAAACAACTATTTGGGATCCTGGCTTGTTGGTCAAAAGATAAATTAATTGAAAACCATGTAAATCTGGTCATCTTCCTTTTTCCAGCAGTACCTGATCAGAAGCAATGTCGAAAACCATTTTTACTGCAATTCCAAGGAAATACCCATTTAGTCACTTGTCCCCTGCTTTCAAGTGGTTTCTATCGGTTAGTTCAAGGAGTTAGAAGTTTTAGTTAATAATTAGAACGTAATTATTACTGCATAAAAACGTTTAATTAGTTTAAAAGGTATAAATCAAAATACTTATTTTTACAGGGTATTGGACCTAATTTTCCCTTTATATTATAACCCAAAGTTTATTAGGTTGATATGATGAATATAAATAGAGGAAAATCAGAGAAAATAGGAGTCCAACCCGTTTTTGAAAAGAAATGAGAACAGTTTTTCTCTCTTCACCCAAGTTTCATCAAAGCTCCGATTCCGAGTCGTCCATGGTCCGATCGAACTGAAATTTGGAAGAGATGTTCACAGGACATAGAGCTACAATCTGAATGGTAGAGATCAGATTTTTGAGTTCGGGAACATTGGTTAATAGTGCGTGAACAGTAACCGGATTTGTTTGTATATTTTTTCTATTTCATATTGTTTTGTCAAGATCTTTGTTATCTTGAGAAAAATATATGTTATAGCCTCCAATTATGGTTGAAGAAGACTTTGTATACCAATTATTTGATTGATCATGGAGGATTTGACTGAATTGGGTCCCGTGATTTTTATTCCTCACATCGAGGAAGTTTTTCCACATAAAATGATTGATTGTGTTTTTGTGATTTGGTGTGATTAATTTTATTTTATTTTATTTTATTTTTATATTTTCTACATATAGAATTATAAAGAAAGACGTTTTACTTATTTACTTTTGGGAGAAGATATTTTGCTATGTGTTTATTTGTTTGCATCTCTCCCGGCACAATGTTGCATTTTCAAAATGATACTTGTTTGTGACAACTGCCCTCTATGGATTGTGATAGTTTCAAAAAGAGATTATCCAAACATTTAGGCTCATTTGATAAACTTTTTGAAGAGTTAAAAGTTACTCTCTATAAGAAGTAGAAGTAAGAGTAAAAACACTGCTTTGAACATGATGTTTTATTGAGGCACTTGAATCTTTCACTTTCTTTGAACTACACGACGGCCACGAAGAGATTATTGAGCTAGAACCATCTTCTCAATAGTGTTTTTCCAAAACTTCAAATAGTGAAATCGTCGTAAAAGCTACACACACTATGAGAAGCTTGATTTCACCCAAACAAATCAACAAATTCATATAGGATGTCCGAGAATATGTATCACATGGTATTCCCATCCAGTACCCAAAGAACGCCTACATTGTAGGCACCCTAACAGCAGGATCCACCACAGAGCCTTCCTACGGCCATTAAAAGCACTCATTCAAGACAGATTTGAAGCTAATAAACCCTCTGAATGTAGTTTTCTTCATTAACTACAAGCAGTTCATTCATACACTTCATCCACACCCCATGAAATAAAAACATTACATGTACTTTAATCTCTGTATCAGTTCATTTAGATATGTATCGCATCTTCACCAATCAATATATGCATTCACCTGTGAGGTGCAAACTCTTTGTATTTTTTAGATAAATAATTAAAGTAACATTCAATTTTCATAAAAAGTTTTCATATCTCATATATAATAAGTGGACATTCATCGAACTTAACAAGATAACAAGATGGTTTATTGAAGTACATTAATCTTACAATTCAAATACTTGTCTTTGCTTTAAACGGGTTGAGCTGTTGGTTTGAACTTGTCAGGTTGTAACGACATCTTCACTTGACATTCTTAATGTAAATTGCTAAGGATTCGAGGTAAGTAAACATCTCCTTATTTTCATGTATACGTCATACGGTTAAATATATAAACATTTTACTTAAATTGTCATTACGTAAACATGATATTTGATCATTACTTTTAATGCCATAAATGCTTCTCATGACATATTCATACATGCCAATGCATACATAATGTTTCAAGAAATAAAAAGTTTTCAAATGTCAATGAGTCAATAAATGTCTTTAAAGATATGTATCCTAAATGTCTTATTACGAGGTGCATGTCTATGTCATGAAAGGTTTGAGTGGAAAATGGAGTGTGGGGGACCCGCACACCCGACCAATGTTCAATGTTCAATGATAATGTTAATGTTAACCGCTTTACGATACTAACGGTAGGACTCAACCGGGTTCTAAATAATAATTGTCCACTATAATCTGATCGGCTAGGCCATACACCAGGTGAGCTCACGATGTCAATATTAAGTTTTTTTTTAAAAAAAGAAATGTAAGAAAATGGGATACACAATGAAAAATACTTTTTATTTGAAAGTAATTCATATGCATATCATAATTATGCATCATATGTATGAGGTTTGCTTACTGAGCGTTAGCTCACCCCACGCTATCCCTTCCCATTTTAGATGATGAAGGCACGATGATGCGAGGTGACGACTTATTGGTGACACGGACTCAGTACTATCATATTTAAATGTTGAATTCATTTTTGTAATTGAATTTAAAAATTTAATTTAATTGTTCTATATTTTGTTGACCACAAATGATTTTAAAATAATAAACCCTTGATACTTATTATGATAAAGAAAAATTTAATCGTTTTCCGCATTTATGATTTTAAAAAGAGAATGAAGTATTAACACTTCCATATCTAAATATCTAGATTTGGGGATGTTAAAATTTGGTATCAGAGAGTAGAGTTATAAAATTGTTCCTGACTTTAAAAATACAATTAAAAAAATGGGTATCGTACTAAGTTCTACCACAAGGGGTTCTCTCGCAATCATCGGGTAAGGTTGAATTAGATTTTTATATTACTAATTTATACTTTATGCTTTATTGTTGTAGCGGTAACATAATTTTGATAATGTTATATGGAATTGTGCCATAGATGCCTTTCATTATTTTA